CTGATCAGTTTCAGCAGCGGCTGAATCTGGACACCAGTTCCGACTTACATACAGATTCAACTTAAGAACAAACCTACAGTCCCTATCTTGTACGTAAGCCGGGGACTGCCTGTAAATGGGAGTTGTGAAATGTGATCCTGCATTTGGAGTACTGAAATTTTGTGATGGTATGTATTTTAGTAGCCTGAGAGATCGACTCTGAAATGTCAAGAATTAGTGTTTTTGTAAGGATCTCTCTTGGTTGACAGAATAAACTTTTATCTTCTCATAAAAACTCTGTGATAAAACTTATTTTTCTTACATACTGCCCTAGCTGTAAAACTTTCTTTAGTACCCAGGTGTGGTAAGCCTTCTCTTGCTTGCTCTGTTTGCTAGGGTAGGCTGCACCTTGCCCTGGTGTGGCTTTAATTATGTTGTAAAAAGCGCATATGGGTGCAGAGAAGGGCTTCACAAGAACCCTTTGCCCACTCACTGCCTATCTGATAAGATGCAAAGTGGGTGAGGAGGGCTGCTGTGCCTTTTGAGGCAAAGGCATCTTCTCCTCCAGATCCATGTACAGATTTCTCTCTCTTCCCGTGTGAATGGGGTACTCAGCTTCCCCTGCAACACTAGTGGCTATTTTGCTAGCTCAAGGATCCATGTAGGGTTGGGATGGTACATCCCCTCACACATCTCTGTTCCTAAAGAGCTGGGAATGTATATCTTTTTGTGGAGCCCCTGCTATGTAGGGGATCCTCTGTAAAGGAGAGGTAGACCCAGGAGAAATGGATCTGAAATGTCAGAGATGGAGAGGGCTGTCTGCCCTGGGACAGAATTAGTGGATCTGTGGAGCTTAAAGACAGGTTTCATGACCTATTCCAAGGAGGCCCAGTCCTACCTTTTCTGTTTTCCTTCCTCATCACCAAATGGAATAATCTGGGGAAAACCCTGAGAGAAGATTTCATTCCCCTTAATTTCTCCCCCGATTTTATAGGAGGGATTGATCTGACTGTTCATGAGTTTCACAGGAGAGCCTCATACCTGATTTACCACGAGAATGATGCATCTCAGGTTTGGAGGAGAGGAGCTCTCATCTGCAGACTTACAACACGTGCTAGTGTTCTTTAAGGGGGTCAACAAACATGTGGACAAGGGGGATCCAGTGGATATGGTCTACTTAGATTTCCAGAAAGCCTTTGACAAAGTCCCTCACCAAAGGTTAAGTAAAGTAAGTTATGAGATGAGGGAAGATCCTTTCATGGATTGATAATTGGTTTAAAGACAGGAATCGAAGGGTAGGAATACATAGTAAGTTTTCAGAATGGAGAGAGGTAACTAGTGGGGTCCCCCAAGATTCTGTCTTGGGACCCATACTATTCCACTTATTTATAGATGATCCTAGAGAAAGAGGCAAACAGTGAGGTGGCAAAATTGGCAGATGATACCTAACTGCTCAAGATAGTTAAGACCAAAGCAGACTGTGAAGAGCTTCAAAAAGATCTCACCAAACTAAGTGATTGGGCAACAAAATAGCAAATGAAATTTTTAATGTTGATAAATGTAAAGTAATGCACATTGGAAAACATAATCCCAATTATATATATACACAACATGATGGAGACTAATTTAACTACAGCTACTCGAGAGAGAGAGAGATTTTTGGAGTCATTGTGGATAGTTCTCTGAAAACATCCACTCAGTGCGCAGTGGCTGTCAAAAAAGCAAATAGAATGTTAGGAATCATTAAAAAGGGGATAGAGAATAAAACAGAAAATATCTTATTGCCTCTGAATAAAACCATAGTACGTCCACATCTTGAATACTGTGTATAGATTTGCTTGCCTCATCTAAAAAAAATATATATTGTCATTAGAAAAGATTCAGAAAAGGGCAACAAAAATGATTAGGGGTTTGGAATGAGTCCCATATGAAGAGAGATTAAAAAGGCTTGGACTTTTCAGCCTAGAAAAGAGGAGACTAAGAGGGGATATGATAGAGGTCTATAAAGTCATGACTGGTGTGGAAAAAGTGAATAAGGAAAAGTTATTTACTTATTCCCACAATATAAGAACTAGGGGTCACCAAATGAAATTAATAGGCAGCCGGTTTAAAACAAACAAAAGGAAGTTTGTCTTTACTCAGCGCACAGTCAACCTGAGGAACTCCTTGCCAGAGTATGTGGTGAAGGCTAGGACTTTAACAGGGTTCAAAAAAGAGCTAGATGGATTCAAGGAGGCCAGTTCCATCAATGGCTATTAGCCAGGATGGGTAGGAATAGTGTCCCTAGCCTCTGTTTTTCTGGAGATAGGTGACGGGGGAATCATGTGAGGAATACCTGTTGTGTTCTCTCCCTCTGGGGCATCTGGTATTGGCCACTGTCGGCAGACAGGATATTGGGCTGGATGGACCTTTGGTATGACCCAGTATGGCCATTCTTACGTTCTTATGTGCAGGATAGGGATGTTACATTTAGTTTAATCAACTAATTGACTAGTCAATGGAACTTCTCGCGTAAGCTGAGACAGCTGATTCCTGGCTCCCACCGGGTCCCTTGCACTGCGCATTTTTAAATGTATTATGCTTATCAGATAGTCGACTAGTCGCATACATTCCTAGTGCAGGAAATAGGCGTCCTCCTACAGATCTCTCAGCTTTCAAGGGACAGAATGTTCATGGTTAGCCAACTAATTCCATGCGCAGGCAAATCAGTGGAGTTTTGAAGCCTTTTTTCTACAATAATTCTTTGTTCCGTCTTTTTTGCACATTCCAGGAACCAGATTGTGGAAGCAGCAAAGTTAACAACTCAGATGTGAGGAAAATACCAATATTAAGATTGCATGTGCAATACTAATTCCAACCCCTTGCACTTATGTATTATGCTACAGTCTTTAATTACATGCCTTCATAATATTTCTAAAATAATACCATGTTATATCCCTTCAGCCCCTCACGTTGAGGAGCACAAATGGAATGTTGTAGACCCGATTCTCCCCTGCCTTAACACCTTGTGCAGTCAGTCATCTGTGCCTGTGCAAAGTGAGTGTCCAATGTCACCAAGTCAGAACTCTTCCTTTAGTGCTGGTAGCATTTGACATTCACTTTGCATTAACTATTCACAAATGTAAATTTGACTCTGGAAGGAAGAGTCACATAGAGGGTCACCACCTTCCTAATGACTGGTAACAAGGCCCCTGAGGCCCCATCCTTTGTCCTGCCAGTTTCCCTACCCCAATGGTCTGCCCCTGCTCCACCTGTTCCCAAGACTCCATCCCCATCATTTGCAGTCTTCAGCAACACAGCTGACACCGCTTTGCCTACCATTTTCATGCAGTGCAGAGCCATGAGCCATTCAGGCAGTCTGGCCCCAGAAGCTGTGGCTGCTGCTGCTGCACTGCCCCCTTCCTTCCACTCCTTTTCCACAGATCAAAAAAAGGACCTCAGGGCTTGTCAAATGGCACTTGGACAGACATGCCAAAACCCAGACTGTCTAGGTTAGCAACCTCACGCCCTGGGTAGTAAGGAAAAAGGAGCTCATGGAGAAATTTGGTCTTTATCTCAATAATTCAGCTTTCCCGTCAGTAAAATGGGAACAATGCAAAACAATATAAACATGTTCTAAAGACTGATTTGTTAGTGTTTGAAAAATGCTTTGAAGGTTGGGGGGGGGTATGGTAAAATAATTTTTGTTGTTTATAAATGCAGTAAAAATTGTCATAAATGGACACAATATAAGTTTAACATACAGACAAAATGATGACCTCTGCATCTGATCCCCAAAGAAAAATTGTTTGTGCTGGCACAGTGGAAACATTGTCAAAGATCTGCTTGTCCTTGTTAAACTATTTCTCCATAAAGCAGCTAATTATCTTTCATCTTCCCACGGTTGCTGCTGCCTATATATGTATAGACTTATTGGCGGCTATTCTATCGGTCCTGACCAATTTTTACCTTTCTAACTTACTCATTTGTATTGATGTGCTCCCTCTTTTGTGCTTTTCTCTTCATGGGTGGATGGGTCAGAAACCTCAAGTATGGTGATTGGCTACACATGCTATAGTCTGTATTCAGGTGACTCATTCAGAAAACATTTTTAGCAAATATCATGCCTAAGCAAGTTACAACAAAATTCTATCATAACCTCTAGGAAAGACATGCACAAAATTTCTGCTCTTTGTATCTTCTTTCGTTCCCTTTGCTAAAAGATTCAGTTCAGTCTTAAAAACTAAAGCTTCATTGGTAAAATATGGGTGCCTATATGTAGAACACCTAAATAAAAGAACCTCATGTCAATCATCCCAGCACTGGATGAGGGAGACTGGTTCGCAGCCCTTGACCTTCAGGACACTTACTTCCACATGGCCATACATCCATTGCCCAATTTCTCCATTTTGCCTCAGATCACTTCCTATACTGATTCCTTCTCGAAGACCCTGGCAGTCGCTGCAACCTATTTGCATCGCCAGGGTATTACAATTTTTCCATACCTGGGCGATTGCCTCATACGAGGTCCTTCCCACCAAAGATATGGTGCTTTTTACCAAGAGGCTTTTCGGATCTCTAGGCCTCATCATAAATGAGCAGAAATTGACCGTATGCCCCACCCAGTCTCTAGAGTTGATAGGGGCTTGTCTGGGTTCCACAACAGAATGAGCATTTCTCCACCCGTATTTCCACACCAAAACGAACCTTGTTTCGGTCATGGCATCCAGCCCCACCATGCCAGTACTCACCTGCCTCCAGTTCATGGGTCACATGGCTGCCACAACATACATGATCCAGCATGCATGTCTGCACTTTTGTTATCTCCAGCACAGGCTCTCGCCAGTATACACCTCATCCAAATACAACATACACAAGCAGATTTCAGTTCCCCCAAAGGCCCTTGTTTCATTACGATGGTGGGCCAATCCCAAAAACCATCTCGCAGGTGTCCCATTCCACCAGACACAGCCCTCCATCTAGATTACTATGGATGCTTCCCTCCCTTGATGGGGTTACTTTACTCAGGGCAGGTGACTTTCTCTCAGACATTCGTGAGTGTATGGTTTGCATCCTTACTGACAATGTTACTATGATGTTTTACATCAATTGTCAAGGCGGTGCTTGTTCTCAGTCCCTCTGCATGGAGGCCATCCGCCTATGGAACTGGTTCATCCACAACAGCATCAGCGTAGTAGCATCTTTCCTGGGGCTAAGAATAGAACTGCAGATACTCTCAGAAGACACTTTGCAATAGACCATGAGTGGAAAGGCCACCTGTGCATCTTTCACGATATGTTCAGAGATGGAGTTTCCCTCTCATAGACCTGTTCATATCACACCACAATACCAAATGTCCCCAATACTGTTGCAGAGTGAGACTGGAACTAGGATAGTTGGGGGATGCCTTTCTCATGGGATGCTCACCTCAACTATGCTTTCCCCCCCAATCCCTCTCATTCTGAGGGTTCTAGGGATGTTAAATTTCAATGGAATTTCCATCGACTACTCAATTAGTCGATAAGGGAGGCGCTCACTCACCCACTGTGCCTCTCCCTTTTAAATGTACAAGAGCTGCAGGCAGCTTCTGTATATTTCAAAGGTGGAGAGGTAGCAGGAACCTGTCCCCGCTGCCTTGGGTTCCCCCTGTGCCTCTTCCTTTGACATGTGCAAGAGCCTCAGGCAGCTCTTGTACATTTCAAAGGGAGAGGTGCAGCAGTCAGGACTGGCATGAGCAGGACTGTTTCAATCCCCGCTCACGTTGTTTCCCCGCTGCCCTCTGTCTCTCCTACCCCCCATGGAGATGGTGTTGGGGGGAACTGGCTTTTAAGATGGCTCCCTCCAGCACTGGCTCGTGCTTTCCCACCTTGCTGCCTCTCTCTGATAGCAAGGGAGCAAGGGAGGGGAAGTGACAAGTCGAGTTCCTACTCAACTACCCGATAAGCATTTGCTTATTGGGTAGCCAACTAGTCACTTACATTCCTAGAGGGTCCTGTGCAAAATCAAATCAGACAGCACCCTACTCATTCTGATAGCCCCCTCCTAGTTGAGACGGATTTGGTTTTCCTATCTTTATCAGACATCTCTTCAACTTCCTTATCCTCTTCTGGATCACCAAGACCTCCTTCCTCAGAACAGTGGCACCTTTTTCCACCCTCAGCTGCAATCACTACACCTGATGGTTTGGCTCCTCTCTGGTTGTCTGAAACCAAGAGACTATGCTCAAAGCAAGTAAAGAACATTATACTCCATAGTAGATGCCAGACCACTTGAAATACTTACCTGTACAAGTGGAAGCATTTTGCAGCTTGGTGTGGAAACAGTCAGTTTGACCCATCTTCCACACCTCTTCATACAATCCTCGATTACATCTGAAACAACAGGGACTATCAGTTCTCTCCCTCCCACACTGAGAGCATTCCACCCCCCAATTGACGGGTTCTCAGTATTCTCACATTGTATTACAAGAAGGCTCCTTAAGGATCTTAGTAACCTTAATCCTCCACGTAGGCCACTATCTCTGATGTGTGACTTAGAGCTGGTACTCAATACACTTACCAGACCACCTTTGGAATCTTTGGTTACATGCTGTCTTCTCCTGTTAACTATGAAGACCGTATTCTTAGTAGCAATCATATCAGTGAGAAGAGTTAGAAAACATGCTGCCCTCACAGCGGCAACTCCCTTCACAATATTCCATAGAGACAAGGTCATACTTTACTTTCACCTGTCCTTCTTGCCTAAAGTCTGCTCCAGTTTCCACATTAATGAGCCTATTGTTCTCCCCACATTTATCCAAAGACTCATGCCTCACGAGAGGATGCTTTCCTACATACCCTAGATGTTCAGAGAGTGCTTTCTTTCTGTATCGACTGGACATGGACCTTCCATAAATCATAGACATTGTTCATTTCAATTGCTGAACGTTCTCGGGGAACAACACTTTCATCTCAGCACATTTCCAGAATTATAGTGTCATGTATCGTCCACTGCTACTCTCTACAAACTACTGCAAAGTACTCCCTGTGTTCCCCTCCCCCGGGGTCATTCATTACAGGCTGTTTCTACAACAGCAGCCTTCCTTAAGGGGGTATCACTTAAGGACATTTGTTGTGCAGCCACATGGTCATCCAACCACACTTTTATGAGACATTATGCAATCTCGACACGAACAGATACGGCCTTGTCTTTTGCTAATGCGGTGCTCTCCACTGCTTAAATCTGAAGCCCACCTACCATCTAACCAAATACCCCTATGTAGTCACCAACAGTGGAGCACCCACGGGGACATCACTTGAAGAAGAAAAGGAAGTTACTCACCTTGTGCAGTAATGCTGGTTCTTTGAGATATGTGTCCTGTGGGTACTCCACGACTCACCCTTCCTCCCCTCTTCTTTGGACCACACCTGGGCCAATCGGGCATACACGAAGAAACTGAGGGGAGTCAGGCCGCACGTGCAAAGGCACAAATGGCACAAGCTGCCTGCCGCACATGCGTAGCCTGACCAGATACTGCTAGGAAAAAAATTCCAATCTGTGGTGCCAGGATGACCCAACACCAACAGTGGAGCACCCACAGGAACACACATCTCAAAGAAACATTCTGTGTGACAATGGAGCTAATTCTGAGGGACCTACTCTCAAGTGAGGCAACACTACACAACTGCAGAATCAGAGAGCTAAGTGAACTAGAAGAATAGTAGGGGATTTACACAATTAGCACATTAGGGGAAACCTTGCAATTAATCCTTTAAAAATCTATTTCCTGTGTACATATTGCTGAATTGAGTTTTTGTTAACGGCAGCCCTGGAGGCAGAAGGTCATGGAACCGTCTACAGTAGAGACTAGAAAGGCCTATTAATTCATCTTATTCAGTCTCTGGGACCAATACAATATTGTTCCCTGTCGTGTGTTTCCCAATTCTATTGTCAGTCCACACAGAATAGGAACACTATGGGCAGTAGCATTGCCAGCATTTCTACAGCAGCCCATTGTCATTCTTCTACACTAACCAATTATATGTGTGTGTGTGTGTGTCTGTCTGTCTCCTGGGAACTTCCCTGTGTTTTTCATGGTATCCCTTGTGTCTTTTGCTTGCTGTCAGACTTCAGAATTCTGAAGCATGCTTTCTTGCACAGCTCCTCTTCAGACTTAGTCTTGCACTGAAAGTAATGGTGCTGAATTTGGGACACTAATTTCCATGGCAACATGCTGTGATATCATAAACACTGGATTATGAATTCATTGCAGGAATAAGACAGAGGAACAGCTGCATAGTAACAGAGAACTCTTAGTCCAATACTGATTTCCCACAAGAGTGAAGCAAATACAGATAATTACTGATAGTAAATGACAAATACTCTCTTCATTTTGTGATCTATTGTGAAAGTGGTCATCATGCACTTCTGTTATTGCAGCTTAAGCAGGGATCTCTTGACTACAGAAGTGCCATTGCAGAGCACTTGGAAGAATTAATGGTTTGCCTTTTGCTAATATGTTTCACTACAAGGGATCTGCTCAAAAAATGTTCCCATGTTAAAGCCAGTTAAATTTTGTTTAAAAAGAGAGTGCCAGAACTGTGTTACTACACTCTCTGCTCTCCTATTGCTTTTTAGGTTGGCAGTGCTGTTTGCTATATTCAAATCTAGCAAAATGAGATCTGTTTTCCCAGAGCAACCATTGCTAAAACTTTTTCACAGTCCCACATTCACAGTAGTTAGTAAAGCTGGAATATTGCATTGTATTTTGCACATTGGCATTCCAAGGCTAATCTGGCTTCCCATACTTCAACAGGTAGTTCAATGAAAGCACTCCTGTAAGTAGAGCAAGCTAGGTTTGATCTTAGATGGTATTCCATCCCATAGGACCATGTGGTAATTTAGTATTGTTGAAACACAGAGCTTTAAAATAATAAGAGAAAGCACTAATTGAACTACTAGAAAAGCTTTAAAATAATAAGAGAAAGCACTAATTGAACACACAGTTTTTTCATTGAAAAATGAACTGTTTTTCTACCAAGCTTTTAAAGACCGAGACAAAGCAGATGCCATTCTCTTATTGCACAATGTAACACAGTGCATTCTCCTGGGGAATCAGTTCAAGAGTCACAGATACAATTCTTGGCAAGACTTTTCTAGTATGTTGGAGTGAGACTCTCAAACAGAAACTCTTGCCAAAATCAAAATGGCTGTAAATTCAAGTTTGCCCTGATATGTCAATATTTCAGATCCAATATTACTTTCACTTTTGGTTCACTGAATTCAACTGATAAACTGTGATGGATGAAAGGGTAACAGGGTAGTTTGCCACTAACTAAAGATATTATCATTTTTGGAAAACATTTGTTTTCTTTGTCAACATGTAGAAAATGTTGGATGGCTTAGTGATAGCTCTTTGCAGAGCTTGAAAAATTACAATATGTTTATTAGTCTAAGGAAAAAAATCAGGCAGTCTCCTCTGCATTACTGCTCCACAAAGCTATGTGTCCTGCAATGTAAAGGAATTAAACACTTACGCAATACATTTTAATCAACTGTCTAATATTTTTTTAAATATTATCTCCAGTGTTTTTGTTATATACAGGCAGTCCCCGGGTTACGTACAAGATAGGGACTGTAGGTTTGTTCTTAAATTGAATTTGTATGTAAGTCGAAACTGGTACATATTGTAGGGGAAACTCTAACCAAACATTTCTCCAGAGCTCAGTTTTATTCTCCCACACCTCACTTCCCTCAGTCCTTTATTCTCAAACTGAGGTGTCTGCTGAGAAAAGCCGCTCCGTGTCTCCCAGGTCTGCTTGGGGGGGGAGGGCACTAGCTTCGCGTCTCCCTGGTCTGCTTGGGGGGGGAGGGCACTAGCTTCGCGTCTCCCTGGTCTGCTGGGGGGAAGCAGCTAGTGCGGGGTTGCCTCACCCCATTTGTAAGTAGGGATCCGATTTAAGTCGGATCCATGTAACCCGGGGACTGCCTGTATCTTCTTTCCCTTCCTGACTTTCCACCCTGATTTTTTTTTTGTTTAATTCTCTAGGTGTATCTTTTTTCCTCAGTTTTTTTCAGTATCTATTTCTTCCTTTCCATCCCCCTCTGTCCTCATGGATTGTTTTCTATATCTTCTCCAGGCCTGGATAAAAGATTTGTGGGGCCCTTTGCCCTGTGGGAATTGGAGCCCCCTATCTTCTGTAAACTGGGCAACAAAGTGCTCCTACCCCATTCAGACCCCCCAAATTGCCCTATTCCCACTCCCATGCAGATCCCCAGATGCCCATCTGACCCACATATGCCCCAACAACCCTCTAACAGCCCCCCTCACACTTATCCTGAGAACCCACATATACATCCCAGCAGCCCTGACATACTTCCCACTCACCACAGCCCTCATCACCTCAGCTGCACCCATAGACACGGGAAGTAGAGGTGCAGGGGGTGCTGTAGCTCTACCAGATTTTGCACCCGGCTTCCCCAGGCCTAGGGTCCAGCACCACTGCTGACCCATTGTCAACTCAGGCAGTCCCTCCACGGTCCCACTGTCCACGTTTCATGCAGGATCTGTAGCCCACCAATCCTGGGGTCACTGGCCTTGAAGGCCCCCTTGCCAGCCTGTGTCTCTGCTTCTGGGCTGGGACCAGAGCTCTACAGCTGCCTCCAACTGTGGCTAGGTGGCCAGCTCTCCCAGACATACCAGACACCATTTGCAGCAGTGGAGTACAGCCCGGAGTAGTTAGCAACCCTAAGTGTGATCCCAGGCTGGGGCAGTTCAGTACCCTCGCCCTAAAAAGAATTCTAGCACCACTGTCTGAACCAACTCCATGCCCGGAATCCTGGAGTGACATACTCAATGTACCATCCTGACACTGTCACCCCTACCCTGTTCCGTACGATGTCCTGGTGACATCTGGACCACTCACAAACAGACTTCTGGCACACAAGCCACAACTGAAGGCTACATCTACACTGCAGTGCTATTTTTAAATACTGGAAGTATCCCAAAATAGGTATTCTGCATCTTTTGAGCGCACCTCTTATTTTGAAATATAACGGGCTTGCTGTTCTGATGTCCCCGTAAACCTCGTTCTACAAGGATTAAGGGACGTTTTGGAATAACTCTCTATTTCAAAATTTGATGCTGTGTAGACAGCGCCAAATTTTGAAATAAACTATTTTGAAATTACCTCAAAATAAGTTATGCAATTTGCATAGCTCAAATTGCGTAGCTTATTTCGAGCTAAGGGTGCAGTGTAGACATACCCTGACTGTCTGTGTGTAACTGCAACCTGCTAGTCACATTTTAGCTCTCACAAGGCTTGGCTATACTGCAGGAAGATCCCAATGCAACTGTAGTCCCGTATTTCTCCCCAGAAATGTACAGCCTATACTGCCCAACCCTCTATTGGACAAGGCAAGTTATACTCTGTTATGTCTTTAAATAGAAATAATATGTACACAACTAGGCACACCCAATGGAGTTTCCCAGACACATCAATTTCAACACACTATATTAGATAAAACACTTATGTTTACTATCTACAGAGAGAGATTTTAAGTGAGTATAAGTAATGAGGCACAAAAGTCAGAGGTGGTTTTAAGAAACAAAGATAAAATGCTACTGGTGCCTAACAAACTCTGCTAAATTCAAAGCAAGGTTTTCTCACTGCATTCTTCCAGTAGTCTTATTGACCAACGTTCCTACGTTTGGACCTCTTCTCCCAGAGTCCGGTGATGGCTTCTGTTGTTTCAGGTGCAATGAATGTGATGGGGAGGGGAAGAAAGCAGAGTCTCTTGGGAGGGGTGTCCATTCTTTTTACAGTCCCCCATCTTCCCTAGTGAAGCATTTCCAGCAGGGAGCAAGGTGACAAGTAAGCTGTGTAGATGGCTTTGCCAAGTTGTCAAATTTGTACCCTGTTTCTTTGCTAAGATGTCAAATTTTCATTTCCAGCAGGGAGCAAGGTGACAAGGAAGCTGTATAGATGGCTTTGCTAAGTTGTCAAATTTGTACCCTTGTCCCTTTTCCTGCCAAAGAAGGACCCCTTAATGGTCCATTGTCCATGTTTTCACTTGGCTGGAGCACCAGCTCATCCCGTATCTCTGAGGAGGAACTGGTTTGGCCATTCCCCAGACTTCTCTGGGAAACCTATGTATTGTCATGATCTGGGCTTATATTTATTACTGCACATATAATGCAGCTACATGGATTTTGCCATGGTGTTATCGATCAGCAAGTTATGTGTTCTCAAGATACCTCAGAAAACATTCTTTGTACAAAAAGTATTATAATAGAGTACAGGGGAACATACTGCTATCTTTTGTCATACCTCACCACTCCCCATCTTCCCCCATTCTCCTCACAGCCCCCATCACTAAACCCACCACCCTACCAACATCCCCTACTTGCCACCAATCCATTCCTCACAGTCTGCCAACATTCATCCCATAACTTGTCAACAACTTACCCTGCAGCCCCTGGGACTTTCCTGTCCATTCACCAGCATCCCTGCCCCTTGGCAGCTCAGTGCTCTGCTACTGTCCAGCTGAATGGGTCCTCCTCCTCCTCCTGGTAACCAAGCTCCACTTGCTCCCACCACCAACCCCACAGACATAATGGCCCTGCACCACTCAGGATGGAGGGGTGATAGGCCAAACTTCAATGAGCAGCATTGTGATGTTGTAGCATCACTCTGGATTTTTTTCCAGTTGTTGGAGGGGGCTGAGATGGGGGCCCTATGCAAGTGCACACTGGTTAATCCGGGCCTGCACCTCCCAAAATCACTCTCTCACAAGTTTTATTCTTGTATCAACTGATCCCACCTATCTCTCTCCCTTACTCTCGCCAACAACAGAGGAGTAGAAAATAATTTTATCTGCATATAAAAGGAGCACCAAAGTAATAAAAATGAGGGGTAAATTATACTCTCTCTATATGGCAACCCATAGGTAGTCAGGATTCTAGTAATTTCACTCATCAAATATGCAAGTCACTTTGCAACTGCATTTTTGTCTTATGAAGTTAATTCAAACAGCAGTTCTTAAACTAAAACATTAACAAACTCACCAACGTACTTGAAATAAAAGTTTCCATTTCCTCTATTGATACATTTTGTACATTGCTGTGTGTTTGTTCTCCCTGGAGATCTTCATTATTCTGATGGCTAAGAATCTCTATCTTAACTACCGGAATTTTTAAGTTTGAAAATCTTTTGAGGCTGTGGGGCCCAGAGGGAGTCACTGGAAAAAAGGAGTGGCAGGCAGTGTTCCCTGTAAGCTGTGCGCTTGTGGTGCTGCACAGGAGAGATTCTGGTGCTGCCCAGATGATTAGCAGAGCACACATAGCTAGGTGTTTAGTTTCTACTAGTGGTGCACATTTGCCTAAGCCTCAGTGCATATAACATTTTTATTCTGCATATGGATGGAAAAGGAGCACACATAGCTAGGTGTTTAGTTTCCACTAGTGGTGCACATTTGCCTAAGCCTTAGTGCACATAACATTTTTATTCTGCACATGGATGGAAAAAATTAGAGAGAACATCGAGTGGAGTTATGAAAAATATCACAATCCAAAAGTCTGCACATGGATGGAAAAAATTAGAGAGAACATCGAGTGGAGTTGTGAAAAATATCACAATCAAAGACCCACCACTACCCACCCACTGTGAACATGCTATTACAGCTAGCAGCCAATGGCTCCTTGAAAGCCACTGAAAAATAGTTATTCACTCTTTTGTGTTTTGTGTATCATTTCCTCTTCTTTCTTTTTTCTGCTCCTCTCTCTCCCTCCCCTTCCCAAGCACACACTTCCTGGTCCTCATCTCCCCTTCTACATGCTTCCCTGCCTCTTGTCTCCTTTTTCCCTCTGGTCCCCTGCCTGGCTATCTCGTTCCCTGTTGCTGTAGACATTCCTCTCCTAAGGGAGGCTAACAGCTCAAATACCAGCTGGGGCCTTGCTGTCCAGAAGGTAATTTCTAGTTTGGCTCCTATTCCTATACAGTAGTGATTCCTCATGGAATCAGGTAGGACGGTGGTTCTTCCTTGTTTCTATCTGCTCTTTATACATCTAGACACTTCTTTGCAAAAAACAGCCTGGACAATTATTGAGTGAGCTGAAAATGGAAGAGACTCCAGCACCATGTGACCATCCAGCTCCCAAGAATCTTCAGGAAGTGCATTGCAGACAACCAGTGGTCTGAAGATCACTGTTAGAGAAGTGCTGATCAATTTATGCTGGTCTTGTAGGAGGCTTAACAAAGAGTTCCATCCATTTCAACAATGCATCATCTCTTTTACACTGTTACTCTCAGTGTAATATTGTAGTGTAATATAGGTATAGTAGTAATATTATACCTATGTGTTCAGATATAGGCCACCCATCTTCCAACCATTTTCAAAGTCAGCTTCAACTAACAAAGGCTGAAGCCTGACCCATGTTTAAAAATTAGATCAACCTAACTACATCCCTCAGGGCTGTGAAAAATGTAGCCTGTATGATGTAGTTCGGTTGACCTAATCGCCAGTGTAGAGGTTTCCATTGATTAGATACTGCCTCTCAGAGAAAATGGATTACCTCCTTCGACCAAAAAAACCCCCACAACTTTCTTTGATGTATGAAGTATCTACACTATCAGGCACAGCTGAAGTTGTGCAACTGTAGCTACATAGTGCGGAAGTGGCCTGAAAACCAAGGATGCATCTTTTGCTCACACCAGTTTTGATTGGAAGAAATGCAAGTGATAGTCTAGAAAAGTGGTTCTCAACCAAGAGTCATGAGCAGGTTTCAGGGTATCCGATCTGCAAGGCATGACTGGCATTTAACTCACTAGGGCACAGGGCACAAAGCCAAAGCCCTGTCATGCAGGATTGCAATCCAGGGCTCTGAACCCTGCCATGTGGGGCTGGAACTGAAGTCTAAGCAATAGCCCATTTAGCAGTTCCAGCTAATTGCATTTGCCAGATTTCTGTGTTGGATATATTGTCTGTAGGGTTTATCATTTTCCACAAATAGAGTAACTTCTTTCCTTTGTAAATTGAGAAAGGAAGGAATCATTTGGTTGTAACAAGCACTTTAGGCCATCTGGTAGCTGGGATATGTTCTGTTTTGGCTGAATTTACTTTCTGCAGATATGTTTTTTAACAACTAAATTAATTTTAAAAGACATGTCAGAAACAGCCCATGACCACTAAAGGCCTATTATAATAGGTTACAATTAATATATCTTACACAAAATGTCTCATTCTAGTTTCACTTTTTTTATAGTATTATTTTTGTCGCTATATTCTCTAAATAGTTCAGTTACTTCTTATTATCTTAAAGAAACCGAGACAGAGTAAAGGGCCAATCTTTCTTTAAAGTATATCCCTACCAATATTAGAGATAAGACACTAAATTATTATAAATGAGATATTTTTTTTAAATCTAATTTATTTTTAAATGCATTGTTTGTCCACTTTCTTCATGTATCTTAGTGTCAAGAATAAAAATAAACTAGAGACTTGTCTGTTTCGCTTTTGTTAATATAGCTAATTTCAGGCATATACTAGGAAAATCATGCCATGTTTGAGATGAAACATGCTGATTATATGTTTATAAACAATATTTATACTGGAATTTTTTTAAAAGCATGGAAATGTTTTTATTGGCTTTAGGATTTCTAAAAAACTGATTTTTACCAAACCAAATTTTGGGGCCAAATTTGATCTGACAGATTCTGTAGAAGGGCTCTGTGTAAGTACAAAGGTTTGTCTCTGTAATCAACAGCAGCTGGTCCAATATAAGACATTACCTCACCCACTTTGTCTCTCTATGGGTATGTCTACACTACAGAGGTTTTTTTTTTTGAAAAACAGCTGTTTTTCCAAAAAAAACCCTTCACTTATGTCCATACTGCAAACGATTTCTTCCGAAAGACAATTGAAAGAACAGTCTTCCACACACACCTTTTTCCAAAAGAGCTCTTTTGGAAAAAGGTGTGTGTGGAAGAGGGAGTTCTTTCGAAAGAAGAGGAAAGAGGAAAAAGCACAGGTGCCCTGGTGGCCACTCCATCCATAGTAATCACAACTGAAATGCGAGATAGTGTCCTTTCAGTGTGGACACTATCTTTCGAAAAAGCAGATAGCTTTTTCAATGTACTTTAGCAGTATAGATGCTCTCTTTTGGAAGAAGTTTTTCCAGAAGATCTCTTCCAGAAAAGCTTCTTCCAAAAGAAGCCTATAGTCTAGCCATAGCCTATGATTCTAAGTTCTTTTATTCTGATTTTTCGCTCTGACTTTCCACATACTCTTCATGCATTCCTTTAAATGCCACATTTTGGATCTGATTCCTGGATGCCTGTAAAGTCACTGGAGGGAAACACTGATCCTTATATATATGGGACTACTAAAAATGTCTTAATCTATACCTTCTCTCCTTTTATCATCTAACCACATTTCCAGGCCTGTGCTTTCAAAACTAGGTCCAGTGCTGGGGACAAATGTTTCTGCTGCAAGTATCTGTCCAGGTAAGGACCTGTTACACTGTAATACCATTTCTTTACTTCTCTATACAGGTTAGAGACCAGGAGACATGTCATCTCTGACTATAAGCTTTAGAGGGATAGCCAAGTTAGTTTGTAACTGGAAAAACTTAAAAAACAATCTGAAGAAATGGGTTGTACCCATAAAAGCTCATAATATCATGTATGTGTTTTGTTAGTCTTTAAGGTGCTGCTAGACCATTTGTTATCTCTGACTATAGTTTGTCTGCACCATACTCATGTGTGTGTGTACTGAGTGGTTTATATTACTGCTGAGCCACTTGGTCATTCCCATCTATTTTTAACACATTCCATTTCTTCTTAACAGTACAGCTCTATGGGGCACATAGGCACTTGCTAGGCACAACTGATTTTTCTATGGGTCAGCAGCCCCCATATGAAAAAAGGTTCCCCACCTCTGGTTTAATTCAACTTTGTAAGTAATGCTTCAGTTTAAATCTTAGGCACTGCTCACATTTAAGGCATAAAATTACAAACTTCTGTAGGCTTACATGCTTTTGCCATTTGAAAAAAAAGTTTGGTGAAAAAATTAAAAGGAAAATGAAATCAGCTGGCTGTGACTCAGCCTCTGGCTTCCAGCTGGAATGGGGAACCCTGTTAAAATGAGTAGGCTCATACTTTCCTCCCCAGCTGTTTCAGTTTGGTTAAAGGTGCTGTGAAAAGCACACTCTGGAATATATTCAAAGGCTGTCTACGGTTGGCGTCAAAGGAATTTTCTGCATCATGGGGGTGGGGGAGGGGATTAGAGCCTTTTTTCAAGTATTATCTCTTGCCAAAATGTCTACTGAGTTGGGTGCCCTGAAGCTGTTCATTGGCTGGATACTATGTTGGAGTTTCTAGATGGGAGCCACATGTTCAACACTCCCCAAGTAAAAATTATTCTCTTACTTTGCAACTCAACATAAAACCTAGCTAACTCTATTTGCAATATGAAGGGGTGGGGTTAAACTATGTCTGTTTTAGTTATTTTCAGCAGATATATGCATTCACCATGTTCGGTCTTTACTGAGTACTAATATCCCACAGGTATATCATCCTTCTCCATACTGTATA